CAATAGCAAGATATCACTAAAAATGATTGATCCACTATGTAAAATTTCTATATAAACAATAGTTTGTTTACATAGAATTTTACATAGTCGGCCAATCGTTTTTCAATAATATCTCGCTATTGGCTAGGTCGATTTGGATGATTTAACCACCATTAGATGCATCTCAACGAGCTTTACAATTTTGACTTAATACAGAAGAGCAATTAACTTAGTATAAAAAAGTTTTCCTTGGGCAAATGTCATATTCAAAGTATATATGATTTACATAGTGACATATGGGCTAATTTTAACTGATCTATATGATATAAAAATGTGATATCTTAATGGTTACACTAATCTGATAACAACGTAATCAATGTCGTCCAAACCTTTTTGTTGTCTTTTATATTCTAAAACTTATTCGACAAAAAAGTCTTTAATATCTCATAAAATAAATAAATACCCACATAACCGTGTTGTACCTCATAGCTCTGGGTTTGAGCTTCCTTCTAGTTGGTGCTTGTGCCAATTTCATTCAGTTTTTCTTGTGAATGTAAAGTCCTGCCTTCATATTTACCGATTAGCCCAAGGCTTGAAACAATTTGCTATACACTGTCATGAAAATCTTTTTTACTATGTATTTCACTAAGAATCAGGTTTTGAATACTGATCTGCCTAGCAAAAGTATAAATGTACGTATAAGGGAAGAGATGGATACCAAAAAATTGGCTATATTTTCACACATCCTGGCTGGGGGAAAAAAACAAAAACAGGAAGTGTGGTTAAAGTAGCGACTGAAAAGAAGGATCCTGAAACACAAAAAATAGTTCAAACTGAGTTTGGGTTTTTTTAGAAGGAGCAAACAACAAAGGAGGAATATTATAAAAAAACTTATACATGGTCTTAAGGACTTTTAAAGTTTACATTCGAAATTTGTAAGCAAAACATAGTTGTAATTTAAATTTATTTTTTTAAATTTATGATTTTTTAGAATAAAATAGAGGCATTTCATTTATATAATAATAAAGCTGTCTATTCTCATATGAACACATTTTGTATGCTACTGATTTTAAAGAATTACCACCACCTATTATAGTGCCTCCGTAAAACAATTGAACATGATTATGGTTTTTTTTTCAATATCTGAACATGAGAACTATCATAAATATAACTCTTTTGTTTTAAGAAACTTTATAAATTTCAGAATATAGCATGCAAGTATATGTATATAAGGAGTAACGTCATTGCGTTGATATAGTCCCTTTTGTAAAACTTCACTATTCCTAGTTTCAATTGTTGGTTAGCAAAATATTTTAACCCACTGTCATGCTGAAATTTCAAATTTAGTAATATCTTCATTTGTTAAATCAATTCTACGCATTGTTTGATATAAAAAATAAAACTCTTGCCAAAGTGTCTGTATATTTTTTCTTCTTTAACCCAGAACAAATAATGCAATTGGAAATTTTTTTAAAAAAACCAATTTATCGGGTCTTATTAATGCTGTCCAGTGTCACCTTCCTTTTAAATTTTCTGGTTCTTTAAACTTAAATATATTGATGCCAAGAGAATGAATTGTTGATTCAATTTTTTTACGAATTGTTGTATCAGTACTGTTTTTTGATCATTTGTTAAACATGGGCTCAATTGATAATTTTAAAAAAAAACACTCGAATAAAACATCAGTAATGCAGAGCATTACATGCAACTCGTCTGGAATACAATGTTGATTTTCTAAAAATAGTAAAAGATTTAAATTCTTGCGATCTAAAGTATTATATAAATTTTCATAATCTAAGTCTATATTCTAGCAATCAGTATTTTTACAATCACAATATAAACAAAAATGAGTAGCAGTTGGTCTTTTAATACCAAGTACTAGTGCTATAAACTTCTAGTTAGTGTCAAACCAAAACTCAATTGGCTAATGATTGTTGTTTGAATCAATAATCCTTCTGAATTTAAAATTAAAAGTTCTTTAATTAAAAAATTAAAAGCCTGCTAAAGATATTTGTATTGTTCTATACCGGTATAAAGCAAAATACAATGTTAGTTTGACGGACTTAAAACTGCTTCATGTTGATTTAATATACAGGCGGTAAACATTACATGATTATGATGTTTACCAATGTGCTATCCATCTCTACTTAATTTTATATAAACAATATCATCTATTTTTAATACTAGTGAATTGTTATATGCTAATTTAGGAATTAAAATATTTAAAATATCTCTAAGTAATCTATAAACCCCATTAAATACTATAGAATTTATTTAAATTGGGTAAACTAGAATCAGATCATTTACAATTTTGGTTATTTCTTGTTGATGCTTTTCAATTTTGTATCCACGCTCCATTTCAGACATAACAGCCGCAAGCTGATAATATCTATTATGAGAAATTAGAAGCTCATTACATGCCCGAACTATCGAATCTAAGACTTGAGAATTAAATTTTTTCAAATCTACATTCTGCAATTTAATGGATAATTCATTTATACTCAATTCCACATGCTCTAATTTTGTATTATAAAAATTATGTAAATTGAGTGCAGATTTGATTCTACTATGAATATCATAAGCCAAAGTTTGAAGTCTGCTTTTTTTTTGCGATTCAGATTTAAGCTGATAAAAAGGTTTATTTCTTTGAATTTGAACTTGATTATTATTAATTCATCTTTTTTTTAGATACTCAAGATCAAATCTGAAAAGTACAACTTCAGAAAATGCAGACTTGTTATTAGTATATAGCTTCTATTTTACAAATACAAGTAAGTATAATATTTATAATATTGTATATATATATATATATGTAATGATTATTTAAATTTATTTAATACAAACTTGTAAAAATAAAGTCGCTACATGACTTGCAGACTTATTACTTGATACAGATTGTCTTTTCTCATCAGAATCATTCCAAGTTAATATATATATTACTTTATTATCAAAATCATATTGAGTTTTAGCCATAATATCCATACCATGAATTTTAATGCTAACTAAATATCTATTAGGAATTAAATAACCACTTCTTTGTATTTGTTTAACATTTGACAGATAATAGCCAAGACAAAAGATTTTGTAAAGATATTGTTTTTTTTGATTTTTATCAAATCAAATTACACAAATGTCTGGGTAATTATTAACAACTTTTAAGGAATTGGGTTGTTGCTGAATTTCTCGAAGAGGATAATGAGCTAAAAATAGAAAATTTGTAAGTCTCTACTAGTGAATAACAGACTAAATATATACTTTAGATCTTATCAGACGGCATTTTTTATTTGAGTTGCTGAGTGTTTAGTTAGCACTTTTGAGATTAATTATACCACTAGTAATACGAATTGTCATATATTTAACAGGAGGTAGTAAAACCTGGCTTGCTTTTATACTTATGACCGGCTTGCTTCTATACTTATGACCCAGCTTGCTTCTATACTTATGATCCAGCTTGTTCCTATACTTATGACCCAGCTTGCTTCTACACTGTGACCCGGCTTGCTTTTATATTTGCGTTGTTTTGTCATTTCTTTACTTGAGTTGCTTGGTCAGTTTGACTTCTTCACTTGTGCTGCTGGACCGTTTTTGTTTCTTCACTTGTGCTGCTAGGCCGTTTTTGTTTCTTCGATTGTGGAAGATGAATGTTTATTACTATTAAAAAATAAAAAAGTTAAAATATATTATCAGTTATAATAAAGTGCTAGTATATATTTTGAAAGAATTATATTGGTTGAAATTCTACTTTGTCTAATTTTATTGGTCAAATTTGTCTCAACTCATCTCCAACTCATCTCCAACTCATCTTCAACTCATCTCTAACTTATTTAAAACTTCTAATCTTGGCTAGAAAAGATGAATCGTGTTGTTGAAGATCTTAAATAGCATTATTTGAAAATATCACACAAACTATCTGATTAGTGGTGTTTGTTGATCAATTTTTGAAAATCTTAATCACATTATTCGCAAATATCACCAAAATCAGCTCAGATCAGCCTATATAATTTATATCACATTATACTATGATCATGTACCAGGTGACTAGCAAATCACTAATTAAAATTTTTTGAAAATTTCTTAAGATTTCATATGTTTTCAAAGCTAAAAAAAAAATTTACTCTTAATACAAGTTCAAATTTTTATAAGTAAGTTGCAAAACTTATAATAATAAAAAATGTTATCCTTTATATAAACTAAAATATTGTATTA